ACCACACAGTGTACCCACCACACAGTGTGCATAGTGTACCCACCACACAGTGTACCCACCACACAGTGTACCCACCACACAGTGTACCCACCACACAGTGTGCATAGTGTACCCACCACACAGTGTACCCACCACACAGTGTGCATAGTGTACCTACCACACAGTGTACCCACCACACAGTGTGCATAGTGTACCCACCACACAGTGTACCCAGCACACAGTGTGCATAGTGTACCCACCACACAGTGTACGCACCACACAGTGTGCATAGTGTACCCACTACACAATGTGCATAGTGTACCCACCACACAGTGTGCATAGTGTACCCACCACATAGTGTACCCACCACACAGTGTATCCACCACATAGTGTACCCACCACACAGTGTATCCACCACATAGTGTACCCACCACACAGTGTGCATAGTGTACCCACCACGCAGTGTACCCACCACACAGTGTACCCACATTTATAGAATGGTCACAGATATTAGTAGACATTCTTCATTTGTTCGCCGTCCCTGTTTGCTCCGTCCCTTCTCTCTTCGCCTACATTCGCTCTTGTCTTCCCTTCAGTTACTGCCTTTATACATTCATTTAGCATCTCACTTTTCCCTACCTCCCTGGGAAGTTCCGGCTGTTCGAGTCTGTTTTTTCTCACTCCCTTGCTCGATAGCCCAGCTGCCTATGGTGGCTTCCCGCTCTCTTTTTCTTGACCACATCCACTCTCATTCTCATGCCATCGCAGTGTACACAGATGGCTCTCAATCTTCAGACGGCGTCGGATTCGCAGCAGTGTTTCCGGACGGCGTCGTGCGAGGGCATTTACTATCTTTGGCTAGCATTTTTTACTGGTGAATTGTATGTCATTCTTGCAGCACTTATTCGTATCGCATTTATGCCTGTGTCATCATTTGTGGTTGTCTCAGACTCCCTTAGTGCTCTACAGGCTATACGAAAATTTGATACACTTCACCCCTTAGTTCTCCGTATCCAACTTTGGCTACGCTGTATCTCTACCATGCATAAAGATATTGGGCCCCTGGTCATGTTGACGTACAGGGTAATGAACAGGCAGACACTGCTGCGCGGTCAGCAGTACATGACCTACCAATTTCATATAGAGGTGTTCCATTTCCTGACTATTTTGCTGTAATAGCTACCCACCTTCACACCCGTTGGCAATAACGTTGGTCTGCTCTGCTCAATAACAAACTTTGTTTTATTAAACCGAGCATAGGTTACTGGCCGTCTTGCCACCAGTATCGAGGTTGGGAGACTACTCTCTCCCGCCTTCGCATTGGCCATACTCGTCTTACTCATGGATATCTCATGGAGAGGCGCCCTGCTCCTCTCTGTGAGAATTGTCAGGTTCCATTATCAGTCAGCCACATTCTATTGGACTGCCCACTTTATCAACGAGGACGCAGAATTTACCTCCGTCGTCATCTTCGCTCTGCTGCTCTCTCTTTACCTTCCCTTCTCGCTGATGGACCCACCTTTCATCCAGACTCTCTCATTGACTTTTTGACAACAACTGACTTACTCCACAAACTCTGATACCTTCAGCCCTTTCTACCTCAATCTCTTGCTACCCTCTACCCTGCACTATCCCCTGCCCCACTGTTTTCTGTAACCTACTAATCATCCCTCCCCCCTTATGCCATCCAATACCCTCGCTTCCTTCCCTACCCTGCAGCCCTGTATATAGCCCTTGTGGCTTAGCGCTTCTTTTTGATTATAATGATAATATCCAGATGGCTTCTTATATTATCAGCTATAATTGACTCTAGTAATTAGCCTACAATTGAGGTTAGGCATCACACTATATTTTTCACTTCACGTGTCTGAGACACAATCAAATCAGATTAATTAAGTCTCGGCTCACACAAATGCTTCTCCCAACACCATAATTAACAGCTGCTAACTACTGATAGAACATGGAACGTTCAATGTAAATACGAAGCGAAGCTCATAACGAAGTTAATACCAAAGAATGTTAAATGCAGTTTTAAAGTTCAATGCAGAGTGATATAAAATAATGTTTATAACAAAGTTAATACAAATGAATGATAAATACAAATTCGAAATACCTTTACAGAAAGTAGATCGTTCATTTCTTCATCCATTTGTATTTTCCGTATATGGGTATAATAATATTTATGGATAAACAGATTGATCATATTGTTGACTGATTTTCACCAATCTCTTTTCCACCTGTTAGGTAAGACACATATGCAACAGTTAGGTATTTTTATTTCGAAACGTTTCGCCTACACAGTAGGCTTCTTCAGTCGAGTACAGAAAAGTTGATAGAAGCAGGAGAGACTTGAAGACGATATAATCAGTCCATCACCCTTAAAGTTTTGAGGTGGTCAGTCCCTCAGTCTGGAGAAGAAACTCTATTCCACCTAAAATATCTCTCCCAAGAAACTTTTCACTATTTCATCAGTCCATTGTTTCACCATTTCTTTCACATCACCATCATTAAGGTTTGTCTGCATCCACCTCGCCACTTTCTCGTAGTTCCCACCATTATATTTACCTTCCTTCCACAATTTTCATAACCATGTACTTAAGTTCTATAAAAACCTCTGGGGAAAGATCACTAACGACTAAACAATCCTTTAAATCTCTCATATTCTTCAAAACAATCCATTAACATTTTCACATTCTTCCCAACAATCCTTGAAATCTCTCATATTCTTCCCAACAATCCTTGAAATCTCTCATATTCTTCCCAACAATCCTTGAAATCTCTCATATTCTTCACAATAATCCTAGAAATCTCTCATATTTTTCCCAACAATCCTTGAAATCTCTCATATTCTTCCCAACAATCCTTGAAATCTCTCATATTCTTCCCAACAATCCTTGAAATCTCTCATATTCTTCCCAACAATCCTTGAAATCTCTCACATTCTTCCCAACAATCCTTGAAATCTCTCACATTCTTCCCAACAATCCTTGAAATCTCTCATATTCTTCCCAACAATCCTAGAAATCTCTCATATTCTTCCAACAATCCTTGAAATCTCTCATATTCTTCCCAACAATCCTTGAAATCTCTCATATTCTTCCCAACAATCCTTGAAATCTCTCACATTCTTCCCAACAATCCTTGAAATCTCTCACATTCTTCCCAACAATCCTTGAAATCTCTCACATTCTTCCCAACAATCCTTGAAATCTCTCACATTCTTCCCAACAATCCTTGAAATCTCTCACATTCTTCCCAACAATCCTTGAAATCTCTCACATTCTTCCCAACAATCCTTGAAATCTCTCACATTCTTCCCAACAATCCTTGAAATCTCTCACATTCTTCCCAACAATCCTTGAAATCTCTCACATTCTTCCCAACAATCCTAGAAATCTCTCATATTCTTCCCAACAATCCTTGAAATCTCTCATATTCTTCCCAACAATCCTTGAAATCTCTCATATTCTTCCCAACAATCCTTGAAATCTCTCACATTCTTCCCAACAATCCTTGAAATCTCTCACATTCTTCCCAACAATCCTTGAAATCTCTCACATTCTTCCCAACAATCCTTGAAATCTCTCACATTCTTCCCAACAATCCTTGAAATCTCTCACATTCTTCCCAACAATCCTTGAAATCTCCACATTCTTCCCAACAATCCTTGAAATCTCTCACATTCTTCCCAACAATCCTTGAAATCTCTCACATTCTTCCCAACAATCCTTGAAATCTCTCATATTCTTCCCAACAATCCTTGAAATCTCTCACATTCTTCCCAACAATCCTTGAAATCTCTCATATTCTTCCCAACAATCCTTGAAATCTCTCATATTCTTCCCAACAATCCTTGAAATCTCTCATATTTTTCCCAACAATCCTTGAAATCTCTCATATTCTTCCCAACAATCCTTGAAATCTCTCATATTCTTCCCAACAATCCTTGAAATCTCTCACATTCTTCCCAACAATCCTTGAAATCTCTCATATTCTTCCCAACAATCCTTGAAATCTCTCATATTCTTCCCAACAATCCTTGAAATCTCTCATATTCTTCCCAACAATCCTTGAAATCTCTCATATTCTTCCCAACAATCCTTGAAATCTCTCATATTCTTCCCAACAATCCTTGAAATCTCTCATATTCTTCACAATAATCCTAGAAATCTCTCATATTTTTCCCAACAATCCTTGAAATCTTTCATATTCTTCCCAACAATCATTTAACTCTCTCATACTCTTAAAATCAGTCCTTTAAATCTCTTATATGTTGAGTGTGTACACTCAAAACTTATATGTTGAGTGTGTACACTCAACACTTATATGTTGAGTGTGTACACTCAACACTTATATGTTGAGTGTGTACACTCAACACTTATATGTTGAGTGTGTACACTCAACACTTACGAGTGACTGTACTCAACGTAAAACTCAAACATTACCCATTTGCAGAAAGGTATTAAATTATTATGAAAAACAAGAAACGTTAAACCTGTACAATTCCTATGGGACTGGAAGGTAATCAAACATGATCAGAATGAAGAAAGGGTTGCTCTAGTTCCTTGGACTGTGAACGTATCTCCTGAACCTAGGAAGCTGCTAAAACATATTCAACAATCACCACAGCTGGTGTCGACACACTGTTCATATATTCCAGAACAAGATGGAGGCTGGTGTTTATGTCTCATCAGTAATCATGCTTTGTTCCAGCGAACTAAAAGGTGTAAACAAAAGAAGATATTACAGAAATCAACATTTTACCATAAACTTCTGTCCCCTCAAAAAATCACAGATGTAGAAATGTAAGTGTCACTATGTAACTGGATGCATTTTGTACCCTTATAACTGTTGAGTTTGAACAGCTAGTCAGTATGGATCAGAGTGTTACTAATTGTTGAGGTGGTAAGGTCGGTGTTTTACTTCTGAGTTTTCAAATGAGCAGAGACAGAATAACAGTCCTTAGCTGTGTGAAAAAAAAAATGTGTTTCGCATTTATTTATTTTGTTCCTTTTCTCCAGATGTTGGCTAAAGAACCTGAGAAGTTCCGGCCGCTGGTGGAGGAGTCGCTGCGTCGACAGGTGGCCGCTATTAACAAGCTAGCTGATGCTGGACTCTTCTTCTGGGACTATGGAAATGCCTTCCTGCTGGAGGCGCGCCGTGCTGGGGCTGACGTGGGTTGCGCGAAGGGAGGAGACGAGATCAAGTTCCGGTATCCAAGTTATGTCCAGGATATTATGGGGTAATTACGTAGCTTTTCCTATGTCCACCAACATCCACGTGACCACAACTTGATGCATTTCGGCCGCGAGAAAGATTTCACCAAATTTCATAACCCAAATCCCGTCTGTCTCAGTGCACGCGATTGCAATAGTGAAGAGCACAGCGTAAGTTGTTGAAACATTTGCATATCATCATGTGGAAATATATCCAGATTTCTTTAACAAAAAAATTTAAATTAGGACACAGCCCAAATTTAATTCCAACTTTTCAGTGAGAACAAAAAATTCTATTTCCATTTTTCCAGTTACAAAAATAGATAATTGGAACCTACTCAGGCCAAAATTAATCCAAAAATTTTCCAGATAAGACTGACCAGCTTTTAAGAAAATAAGTAAAGCAATTAAATAATTATATAAGAAATAGTAGTAGGTTGGTAGACAGCAACCACCCAGGGAGGTACTACCGTCCTGTGGTAGTAGGTTGGTAGACAGCAACCACCCAGGGAAGTACTACCGTCCTGTGGGAGTAGGTTGGTAGACAGCAACCACCCAGGGAAGTACTACCGTCCTGTGGTAGTAGGTTGGTAGACAGCAACCACCCAGGGAAGTACTACCGTCCTGTGGTAGTAGGTTGGTAGACAGCAACCACCCAGGGAAGTACTACCGTCCTGCCAGATGACTGTGAAACAGAAACCTGTAACTGTTTTGCATGATGGTAGGATTGCTGGTTTCTTTTTCTGTCTCATAAACACGCTAGATAACAGGGATATCTTGCTACTCCTACTTAAACTTTGGTCACACTTCACAGACACGCACATGCATATATATATATACATACATCTAGGTTTTTCTCCTCTTTCTAAATAGTTCTTGTTCTTTTTTATTTCTTCTATTGTCCATGGGGAAGTGGAAAAGAATCTTTCCTCCGTAAGCCATGCGTGTCGTATGAGGCGACTAAAATGCCGGGAGCAATGGGCTGGTAACCCCTTCTCCTGTAGACATTTACTAAAAAAGTTTCGGGCCACCCTGCCTTGGTGGGAATCGGCCAGTGTGATAATAATAATAAGAAATAGCAATAATTAAGAAAATAGGTTTAATGTAATCTCCGTGAACATAACATACAAATTCTTAACAATGTTCACGAGGGAACACAGATGTTATAGACGCAAAAGAACATTTAGTCTAGGACAGGCATTGTGAATTATTTATCATGATAAGAGATATTGACCAATTACTTCACAGTAAACACTGTGATTAATATAACTTGTTTACGATAACTTGTAAAGTAAAAGGACACAAGTGCAACTAATGTGACATTTATTGTGGCAACGTTTCGCTCTCCAGGAGCTTTATCAAGCCATTACAAACAATACATGGACACAGAGGGTATATAAAGGCTCAGAGTGAGGTGAATACTAGTGAGGTAACATTTCGATGTTCACTAGTAGTAGTAGTAGTAGTAGTAGTAGTAGTAGTAGTAGTGGTAGTGACAAAAGTAATACAGTATGGTAGAGCAATTAATTCGTATTACACCTCACTCTGAGCCTTTATATACCCTCTGTGTCCAAGTATTGTTTGTAATGCCTTGATAAAGCTCCTGGAGAGCGAAACGTTGCCACAATAAATGTTACATTAGTTGCACTTGTGTCCTTTTACTTTACATATTGTCGGTAATTCTACCAACTTTATTACGATAACTTGCTCAATACAACATTAAAAGATTACTTAGTTTGAAGATAACACGTCAGCACTGAAAGATAACACGTCAGCACTGGAAGATAACACGTCAGCACTGAAAGATAACACGTCAGCACTGAAAGATAACATGTCAGCACTGAAAGATAACACGTCAGCACTGGAAGATAACATGTCAGCACTGGAAGATAACACGTCAGCACTGGAAGATAACACGTCAGCACTGGAAGATAACACGTCAGCACTGAAAGATAACACGTCAGCACTGGAAGATAACATGTCAGCACTGAAAGATAACACGTCAGTACTGGAAGATAACATGTCAGCACTGGAAGATAACACGTCAGCACTGGAAGATAACACGTTAGCACTGGAAGATAACACGTCAGCACTGAAAGATAACACGTCAGCACTGGAAGATAACATGTCAGCACTGAAAGATAACACGTCAGCACTGGAAGATAACACGTCAGCACTGAAAGATAACACGTCAGCACTGGAAGATAACACGTCAGCACTGAAAGATAACACGTCAGCACTGGAAGATAACATGTCAGCACTGAAAGATAACACGTCAGCACTGGAAGATAACACGTCAGCATTGAAAGATAACACGTCAGCACTGAAAGATAACATGTCAGCACTGAAAGATAACACGTCAGCACTGGAAGATAACATGTCAGCACTGAAAGATAACACGTCAGCACTGGAAGATAACACGTCAGCACTGAAAGATAACACGTCAGCACTGGAAGATAACATGTCAGCACTGAAAGATAACACGTCAGCACTGGAAGATAACATGTCAGCACTGAAAGATAACACGTCAGCACTGGAAGATAACATGTCAGCACTAAAAGATAACACGTCAGCACTGGAAGATAACATGTCAGCACTGAAAGATAACACGTCAGCACTGGAAGATAACACGTCAGCACTGAAAGATAACACGTCAGCACTGAAAGATAACACGTCAGCACTGGAAGATAACATGTCAGCACTGAAAGATAACACGTCAGCACTGAAAGATAACACGTCAGCACTGGAAGATAACATGTCAGCACTGAAAGATAACACGTCAGCACTGGAAGATAACACGTCAGCACTGGAAGATAACACGTCAGCACTGGAAGATAACACGTCAGCAATGGAAGATAACACGTCAGCACTGGAAGATTACCACAAGATGCATTTTCCAGTTACTGCGCAGAGTCCAATAAAACTGAGGCCTACGTACACAGCCTATAACGATTAAACGTTCCGGTCATTTCATAAGATGAGTAAGTCGTTCAAAATTGATGCCGTTCACAAATATATTTTAGTCAAAGAGCTAAACCCTGAGAGTTATATAATGCCTGTGGAATAGAAGACATTAAATATCGATCCAAAGGGATGATAAGTCCAGTTCCTTGAATCAAGAGCCCCTTTCAAGCATCAGTTTATAATATTGTAACAAGGTGAAAAAAAAACTATACCTTTTCGAGACTAAAATTGGCGAAAATGGCTTCTTAAATATCAATTTAATTTATTAAATAATGATAATAACTTTTATTTAATAACTAAAGATTAATTCTTCTAACTACCTTCAAAATATTTCTGACGATACAGTCTATAATAAATAAGATAAACCCATTAGTTTAGTTCGAGTTGTTACAGTTTTGGAAATCTGCTGAAGTTATTAACTAATTAGTATGCGTTGAATTGAGTTCACTTACGGGAGAATTTCTTTACTCTCGGGTTTTATTAAAACGCAGATTATCACATATTTTGACCTGTTTAAATTCCAATTTGGTAATTTTGCTAAGCAAATTGTTTCCATTTTGACAGGTCGAATCGTTTTTTTTTTTTAATTCAAAATCAAATATTTTTATCTTACAAGATTATAGAAAAAGTGAGAAAAAGATAAATTCGTGTATTTAAGACTTTTTAAGTTTAACGAGGCTTGACATTTCTGTCTTGTGAACATTCTCATAATTTTATCCTTGTTAGGTAAGACACATATGCAACAGTTAGGTATCTTTATTTCGAAACGTTTCGCCTACACAGTAGGCTTCTTCAGTCGAGTACAGAAAAGTTGATAGAAGCAGAAGATACTTGAAGACGATGTAATCAGTCCATCACCCTTAAAGTTTTGAGGTGGTCAGTCCCTCAGTCTGGAGAAGAGCATTGTTCCATAGTATGAAACAATATGGAGTTGAAGTGACAGAATGGGGCCTTATATAGTGCCAGGAGGTGAGACGTAGGTTGCTTTGGGAGGGCAGGTCCCTCTCAAACCCAGCCGTTCTCACTAGTAGAGGTTGTCGAAGTTGATGGTCTGTACCAAGATACCCTTGTGTTGCAGTGTCTGACAGAATGAACATTAAAATGGTATAAAATACCGACAGGTTGATAGGTAAGACACATATGCAACAGTTAGGTATCTTTATTATGAAACGTTTCGCCTACACAGTAGGCTTCTTCAGTCGAGTACAGAAAAGTTGATAGAAGCAGAAGATACTTGAAGACGATGTAATCAGTCCATCACCCTTAAAGTTTTGAGGTGGTCAGTCCCTCAGTCTGGAGAAGAGCATTGTTCCGTAGTCTGAAACAATATGGAGTTGAAGTGACAGGATGGAGCCTTTATATAGTGCCAGGAGGTGAGACGTAGGTTGCTTTGGGAGGGCAGGTCCCTCTCAAACCCAGCCGTTCTCACTAGTAGAGGTCTATCACTTCAACTTCATATTGTTTCAGTCAACGGAACAATGCTCTTCTCCAGACTGAGGGACTGACCACCTCAAAACTTTAAGGGTGATGGACTGATTACATCGTCTTCAAGTATCTTCTGCTTCTATCAACTTTTCTGTACTCGACTGAAGAAGCCTACTGTGTAGGCGAAACGTTTCATAATAAAGATACCTAACTGTTGCATATGTGTCTTACCTAACAACCTGTCGGTATTTTATACCATTTTAATGTTCAATTTTATCCTTATTACTCGAGAAATCCGTATTTCCAGATTTCCAAGACTGATTTACAGTAATATATCTTTTGCAACATTCAGATAAATATTTACATGTGTTCTGTGCACAATGTTATATAGGATATTACGAAATATTGAAGATAGGCTTATTTGATAGGCATAATATTTCTAACTAGTGTGAAAAGAGAACCCACAGTAATGGATTCAAATTAGATAAGTTTAGATTTAGAGTAGATAGGAAAGTATTAATTTGGAAATAGGGTAGTTGATGAGTGGAACAATCTGCCTAGGAGGGTTACTGAAGCTAAAACTTTGGGTAGTTTCAAGTTTAGGTTGGATAAATGCATGATTGAGAGGAGTTGGATTTGAGTGGGACTTGCATATGAGTAAATGGATTTGTCAGAGCACTGAAAGTGGGTTGGATAATTATTCTGTTAGTGGGATGAACTTGTGAAAGACTTACCCAGTATGGGCCAACAGGTCTATTGCAGTGTTCCTCCTTTCTTTTGTTCTTATGTGTACTACTGTAATTTGCTTTGCAGCAGGTGAGAGGCTCTTGATCCAAAGAACTGGATGTATCATTCTCTTGCTTGTGCCCATTTTGAAGGTCTCTCATTCCACAGGAACAATATAACCCATATAAGTTTAGCACTTTTCTCAGATTAAAATATAAAACATTGATATTCATCAATTATCCATGGCTGAATCATCGTATGAAATGGATGGAACGGTTCATCATTTTAGGCTGTGTTGGTACAAATTGTGATGGAGTCTGTTGCAGTAACCTGAAACTGCATCTTCTGGTCAACTTTAAGAGGCACGTAAGTTGCCCGTTTCGTAATAAAATATTTTTCGACTATAATCTATAATCTATTCATCGTATAATTTAAATCTTTGTTGCAGTTGCAGTCTGCAACATAATTACCATCTGCAACACAATTGTCCTCAAAGATTTGTTAAGTTATACCATGAATTAAGGAAAGATCCTGGACTTCACCTTACGAAACAGACAAAGCAAGTGTAATAGTAATTATGGACAAGGTAGATTATAGTGGAACAATGAACGTGATATTAGCAGACGGTGGAACTTACGTGCCTCGTAAATTTTTAGTGCTGATGTGTTTTTATCATAGCAAACAATCTGTTGATGTTAGAGTTTGTAAGTTAGTAAGAGCCAGTTTTATTAATCTAATTGTTTTCTGAGAAATCATTGGAGAATGTCTCAGAAATAAGTGGTAGAGTTTGAATTAATTTAGTTATCTTAGGTTAAATCATGTTAATGGTGGTTAATATGTCTATAACGTCTATGTTGTTCAAGGCTACTGTTAAAAAACATGACGTTACGTAAACAAAGTTTGAATAAAACATACAGAATTTACTTGGTTTGTTTATGAAAAGTTTGGATTGATTTTGGCTTTTGTACTTCTGATATTTTTCTGAAGAAGCTGAATGAATGAAATATATTTTTCCAAACCATTTTTTCTGAGAGTTGCATCTTTTTCACTTCAATTATTCCATGTTGATACCTTAATAATGCATCTTCTGAGCATCTTGGTACTTGATGTACTTGTGTATTTTAGGATATTGGTTTCTTTGTAAGTTTTGAATTAGATTTTGACTGTATATGCCCTAAGTTAACATCAAATTGAAGAGATCTGAATATTAGTTTTCATGTGATAATTTGTAAATGCCTTTGATAAATCCCTTAAAATCTAATATATAACCGCATCATCAACTTCCGCCACACTCTGCACTATTCCAGTCACATGCTTGGAGGCACAGAGGGGGACCGGAGCGATGGTTCACGGGAATATCTTTCTCTAGTTCATTTCATTAAATTTCTGAGGAATCTCTACACCCTTAAGAGCCATACTAGGCCGATATTGTATTTTATAAGCATGTATGTTGCGTTATGTCTGAGAAGGAACGCTGATGCTGAGTGATTGATCAAAAGAGTGTATAACCCCTCGCTATATTGTGTCTATGTCTTGCAGGGACATCTTCTCCCTGGGCTTTGGTCCCTTCAGGTGGGTGTGCACGTCAGGTGATCCTCAGGACCTGCAGAAGACAGACGAATTAGCCTGCACCATCCTGAAGGCCATCTGTAACGGTGAGTGAGAGACAGAGAGGGAGAGAGACAGACAGAGACGGACAGAGACGGACAGAGACAGACAGACAGACAGACAGGCGGGCAGACAGATAGACAGGCGGACAGACAGACAGATAGACAGACAGTGAGTGAGAGCACTCAAGTAGTCTGGTTACACGTGAGTAATACACATGGGCAACATTTACGTATTTTTATTTCCGAAATGTTTCGCCTACACAGTAGATAACACTGTCCAGCGTCCTCTGTACCAAGGACTCTTGTCTCTGCCGTCAGCTTCAACGATGACGAAGTCAACAAGATCATCACCATTTCGGCTATAAACTTTCTCAATGACCGTGACTTCGAAGTAGCTCATTACCTCTGCGTTTAAGCCAAGAAATCGGTGTTCGTAAAGAAGCTCGATCATGAAGTCACCAACAAATCAACTAACTACCTGCAACGACTTACTGAAGAGAAAAGTGACTGGGGCCATCTTTGAATCCATTAAAAATCCCACTACCATCTCTATAATCTGGGTCATCGCCGAAATCTCAATGGTATTTCAGGTAATCAGTGAAAGTCTACGCATCTCATATCACTTTAATCTGAAGACCATAGACAGTGAGAGGCTCCACCACATTCCCTAATGTTGGAACTGCTGTGTATATACCCACCAAGAACTGCTCTTTGAAGGGAAAGAAATGCTGCTTCACTGCGGCAGTGAAGGACACTCTAAGCACTGCATTTTACCCTCACAGCAGATATGTATCTACTGACAAACTGATCATCACACTCTTGCTCTCTCAGGAAGGAAATCATTAATAAAATGAGTTCGAGACCCCGAATTACGCTGCTGCAGTTACTAGACTTCAAGACGACACTCAAGGAATTTTCCTAATTTCCCAACATCTTACATCTGCTACAAAACTTCATTCCTACAATGGCAGGCGGCGATACCAAGATTATGTACTGCATGATGTATGACCACATGAAAAACACCGCTTTTCCTGGAATCTTCAATTACACAATCAATCAACTCCTTCGCCTCACCTACCTTCCAGACTTCAATTTTCCTGTCGCTGCACCATCAGCAGAAGTACTAAAAATCTCTTCTGACATTGATGGCATCATCATCCCATTAACTCCTCCAACCACAGCCAGCCAGTCCACTCCTTACCTACTATCCGCTCAAGCCACTACGCTTATTCAAGCTGCCATCCGTTCAAGCCACTACGCCTATTCAACCTGCCATCTATTTCATACCCATTCCAACTCCACCTGAGGATTAAAACTCCTCCACTTCTGAAGAAGAAATGAAAATAAACGACCACACCCCCGACCTAACCTTGAAAAATCTACTACTCTACATTTCACCTTCGTAGAGGCACCAAGTTTACAAGGCGCTTCACCCTCGACTCTGCAATGAAACTACCGAAGACACTTCTATTGTCCCATATATGTTCGCATTGTAAGTCCAAAATTATGTGAGTCGGTTAATAGAGGACTTTGACAATTTTCCAAGACGGATCATTCGAATTATTAAGAGTAAAGTGAAATTCACCTGAACTCGTGTGCCTGCCTGCTGTCTCCAGCCTGCCTGCTGTCTCCAGCCTGCCTGCTGTCTCCAGCCTGCCTGCTGTCTCCAGCCTGCCTGCTGTCTCCACCTGCCTGCTGTCTCCAGCCTGCCTGCTGTCTCCAGCCTGCCTGCTGTCTCCAGCCTGCCTGCTGTCTCCAGCCTGCCTGCTGTCTCCAGCCTGCCTGCTGTCTCCAGCCTGCCTGCTGTCTCCAGCCTGCCTGCTGTCTCCAGCCTGACTGCTGTCTCCAGCCTGACTGCTGTCTCCAGCCTGACTGCTGTCTCCAGCCTGCCTGCTGTCTCCAGCCTGCCTGCTGTCTCCAGCCTGCCTGCTGTCTCCAGCCTGCCTGCTGTCTCCAGCCTGACTGCTGTCTCCAGCCTGACTGCTGTCTCCAGCCTGATTGCTGTCTCCAGCCTGACTGCTGTCTCCAGCCTGACTGCTGTCTCCAGCCTGACTGCTGTCTCCAGCCTGACTGCTGTCTCCAGCCTGACTGCTGTCTCCAGCCTGACTGCTGTCTCCAGCCTACTTGCTATGTCCAGCCTGCCTGCTGTCTCCAGTCTGACTGCTGTCTCCAGCCTGACTGCTGTCTCCAGCCTGCCTGCTGTCCCCAGCCTACCTGCTGTCTCCAGCCTGCCTGCTGTCTCCAGTCTGACTGCTGTCTCCAGCCTGCCTGCTGTCTCCAGCCTGACTGCTGTCTCCAGCCTGACTGCTGTCTCCAGCCTACTTGCTATGTCCAGCCTGCCTGCTGTCTCCAGTCTGACTGCTGTCTCCAGCCTGCCTGCTGTCTCCAGCCTGACTGCTGTCTCCAGCCTGCCTGCTGTCCCCAGCCTACCTGCTGTCCCCAGCCTGACCGCTGCTACCATTAACCATCAAGCGCTCTGTTGCTGGGTTAAGCTCTGGCTCTGTTTTTGAGCCTCAAGACGCTCTTGTCTGGTGCTGTTCATTGCTTATACCAACTTGCCAGCTCTCTTAACCTGAGAGTTAGTTAGTCTTAGTTTTTATCTTCATATTTATAGGAAGTATGGAGCTAAACACGCAGCTCAGGGACTAACCACCTGACACTTTTTATTCTTAAAGGCTGAGGGACTGACCCCCTCATATCTGCATTTCTACTTCCATTACCTTCACTGCATTTCGACTGAAGAAGAGCCCTGAGCATACTAAACTGCTACTCACGTGTCTTACTCATCAACCTGGTAAAAATCGTTGAGGTTGTCATAGTGTGTGATAGCTCTTGGCTCACCACTAAGTGCATTTGTGACCGAACTTGTGTAGCTGGAGTACCTAGAAGAGGAGACGTTGAAACCACGCATCCCAAGCAGCTCAAATATACCAACAAGACTGAACTCCATAATAGCAGCAACTCTTATTAAAAAAAAAATCCATTACGTGCATTACGTTGGCGTTCAAAGTCCAGTAAGAATAACCTTCATTTCTCATGCCCTAACGTAAGTGGTGAGAAACACATACCTGGAGTTTACCTGGAGAGAGTTCCGAGGGTCAACGCCCCCGCGGCCCGGTCTGTGACCAGGCCTCCTTAGGTCAGTGTCCCAGGATGCGACCCACACCAGACGACTAACACCCAGATACCCATTTTACTGATGGGGAACATAGACAACAGGTTGAAAGAAACACGTCCAATGTTTCTACTCTGGCTGGGAATCGAACCCAGGCCCTCGCCGTGTGAAGCGAGATCGTTAACCACCAGGCCACCAGAGCCCATACATGGCCATACTTTGTTTTTCAATGTTTTCTACAGACTCCATTGTTCTCATGATTTTCTCATCGGCCAGAGAAGGAAGGTGGAGAAGTTCTCCAAGGCAGCTAGACAACGAGTCACCAGACTGAGTCAAAATTCCGCCTTTTAATCACATTTTTTACAGCATACTGAACTGCTAAAAACAAATCCAGTATTACCATTTTAATTTCCAGCACTTGTATGGAAATAAATTTTACAAGAAATACAACACAGGGAAAGCGACTCCCATGTGAAACATGGGATAAAATATATGTGAGAAATCTTACAGAAAATTTACACAATGGATCATGAAACAAAATTAAACGTGCCCGAGGAGCCACTGGAACAACACATTGATCGCTGCTCCGTGGACACCTCCCGGTCTTCTGTAATAACAAGTAATGGAATTAGAAAATATTTAATAATTATGAAATGGTTATAATATTAACCATAATTTTTAAAGGAGTGAAGTGGAAAGCCAACGGAAGGCCTCGGTCAGATGACCAAAAGCTCCAGCTGCGGGTCATACTATGATTAAGATGTGTGTCAGGAAACACTTGTCCTGTTTCCTGATAAATCTTACCTAACCTATCTAACTTAACCATTGAATCAGAACACTGCAATAAACGCTGTAAAGAGTCATCACTCATAGTTACCATAAACACCATAATTCAAAATACAACAAACTTGATTATTTCCGAAATCTCCACAGAGCTCTTGCTACCCACACAGAACATTTAGTTCCTCTTGTCTCACAGCACCTGACCTCTACCACTATTTACTATACACAAATAACCCGCACATAGAAGAGAGGAGCTTACGACGACGTAAAATGGTATAAGTCGGACCGAAACGTCGTCGTAAGCTCCTCTCTTCTATGTTCGGGTTATTTGTGTATCGTTCCAGTCACGGTATTGTGCCTTTTTTTGTTATTCACTATTTACTCTCTCTTTGTCTCGCTCTCTGCATTGAATTGATTAACTCCTTAGTGGATGAACCATTTTAATGTCTTACAATCCGAATACTTGCTTATTTACATATCCGTACATTAGTAATGCTCTCACAAGAGTCATCAATAAAGTCCTTCATTTTCCAGTGCCCTGCCTCATAACCTGCACCTCTTGACCATAGCCACAAACTCTGCCATACAAAATAATAATTAATGTCTCCCTCACTGCCCGTCTTCCACCCTCCCTACACAGAGGGCATCTCCGAGAGGACCCGCCAGCAGTACCAGGACAACATCGCATGGATCGAACAGGCAGGAAAGCACAAGCTGGTGGTGGGAAGCCAAGCCAGGATCCTTTACTCTGATCAAGTGGGTCGGGTGAGGATAGCCCGAGCCTTCAACGATGCTGTGAGGGCTGGATTACTTAAGGTAAAATGAAAGGAACTGTTACATGCTAAGATTGCATTATGTTTTATTAGGCGTATGTCACACACCCATATAGGCTGCCATCCTGACCAGCGTGCCAGATGCTAAGGGTGTAATGAGTTGGAACTCCCTTGTTATGTTATGCTAGCACCTTGGTTCAACCAGCCAATCACAAGGAAGCCCGCTAAAGTTTTGAAGCGATGTGGTGCGTTTGTGAATCAACATTCGACCAGACTTACCTCCAAGTCTGGTCGAATGGGGTCCTCACTTTGTGTCTTGCTTGCAATTTGCCTTTCTCTACATATCCTCTATATATATTGTACATATTATTGCTTGCTGTTTGGTGAAGGAAATATATATATTTACTCTTTGCTGCTTTTGGCTCGTTCCTCGTTTCTACTGTGGTTATCGTGCTACAACCAGGTGTGCAGGCCAGTAAACTACACCTGTGTTCATAATAGGAACAACACGATTGACTCATGATAATCGATGTCACCTGTTCTTGTTATTAACTATATAACTAAAAGGGTAAGCTTTCCCTCCCCTCCCCCCCCCCAAAAAAAAAAAATAAGCCCCTCTTTCCTCACTACCACATACCTGTGTGTCCTTATCTTGTCATACAATAAGTTCAGGTGAACGGTGAGACACACTCATTTAATGATGTTCTCTCTCTCTCTCTCTCTTCTAAGAATAAATCAAAGATCTCAGAAGTAAGCCAATACAAGGCAGGTCTTCTCATGCCCAATCATTCTCTCTAAGTTGCTTTTAAATCATTCCAAGCTTCAATGATGCTACTTGGCAGACTTTTCTCTGATCAACGCTTTCCTAGCCTCTACTTAACTGTATCTGCAAACCAGTTTCTCGAGTTTTTTTTCGGTTATATGTTCTCAGTACCCTATTTAATACTCCTCTATTAATACTTGTCTTCCACTTGTATACTTTAATTATATTTGTCTTTATTCTACGTCTTTCAGAATAGTGTAAATTCAAATTCTTATTGTATCTTAGTGGGAGATATTTGATGATTAAGTAGCATTTGCATCACCTGGATGTTTCTACTACTGGGCGATTCCTCTACATTGGCTCTATCAGTTTAATGTAGAGTGATACGTTTATAGTGGATTAAGTGGAAGAAATGGGAGATGCAGCAGTTGTAAATGTGATCAAATGTGGACGGGACTTACAAGTGACTTAAATCAGGGTATTTCTCATCACCTCATTCATTGGCTCCACTAAAATTGTCTTTTTTCTCGTGGCTTTGTTACATTGACAAAGAACATAAGAACATAAGAAAGGAGGAACACTGCAGGAGGCCTGTTGGCCCATACTAGGCAAGTCCTTTACAATTCATCCCACTAACAAAGGAGGTGGTAGACGAGACACCTCTTGTTATCCAGGTGATGCCTATGTGTTTTATATCATTAATCTAATGGCAGGAAAGGTGTCTCATACACAGTATGAATTCTGCAACACATATCCCCTCTGTTGACCGGAAACAAAATCAGCATTGTATGATCTCATCGAGGCCTTATCAGTGATGAGTCGAGATGTAATATGACTTGGCAATTTGATTACGTCTCCTCTTCCTTTCTCTCCGTATCTTTTCTCTCATTGTAATTGTTGGGTGAATGAGGATAATAGTCGCTTCCTCACTATATACATACATATTTTATATATATATATATATATATATAATATATATATATATATATATATATTTATATATATATATATATATTTTATATATATATATATATATATATATGTCGTGGCGAATATATAAAACTGGTCAATTAGCAAGAACTCATTTAAAATTAAGTCCTTTCTAAAATTTTCTCTTATACGTTTAAAGATATATTTTTTTCATTAATGTTAATACAAAATTTTTTAATTTTGCACCAAAAGAATCTTAGAAAACTTACCTAACCTTATTATAACAAGCATAATTTATTTTAGCCTAATCCAACTAAATATATTTTATATACGTTTTCAGTAATTTAATACTAAACAAACACAACGAAATATATTTTTTTCGTTAGGTTCAGAATGATTTTGGCGAAATTATTGCATACACAAATTTTCACTTGTCCTATATGGCAAGATGAGCGTTGCTATTTAAGCCAAGATCGCAAGTTCTGCCTATTCAGCACGACATATATATATATATATATATATATATATATATATATATATATATTTTATATATATATAATATATAAAATTTTATATATATATATATATATATATATCACTGTTGCTTCAGTTACTTTGGGTTAAGCTCAGTAACGTTACCGTTGACTACTTTCCAACGGCAGTGAAATTGGGAAGAAATCGCTAAGCCCGTAGGGGATCACGCATCTCCTGTGAATTGGGAAATAATCAGATTTCATATGTGAAGGGAATTTCAGAGTCCTTTGATCAAGAGCCCTGCGCCAGCATCAACACCCTCCTGCTCTTGATGGTGTGAATTCTAGCCTTGATATTTGATTATTTATAATATTAACAATTTATGAACAAATAACCCGCACATAGGAGAGACGAGCTTACGACGACGTTTCGGTCCTACTTGAACCATTTACAAAGTCACACTAACAGAGAGGAAAGACGAGCTTACGACGACGTTTCGGTCCGACTTGAACCATTTACAAAGTCACACTAACAGAGAGGAGAGACGAGCTTACGACGACGTTTCGGTCCGAATTGAACCACTTACAAAATCACATTAACAGAGATGAGAGACGAGCTTACGACGACGTTTCGGTCCGAATTGAACCACTTACAAAGCCACACTAACAGAGAGGAGAGACGAGCTGACGACGACGTTTCGGTCCGACTTGAACCATTTACAAAGCCACACTAACAGAGAGGAGAGACGAGCTGACGACGACGTTTCGGTCCGACTTGAACCACTTACAAAGTCACACTAACAGAGAGGAGAGACGAGCTTACGACGACGTTTCGGTCCGAATTGAACCATTTACAAAGTCACACTAACAGAGATGAGAGACGAGCTTACGACGACGTTTCGGTCCGACTTGAACCATTTACAAAGCCACACTAACAGAGAGGAGAGACGAGCTGACGACGACGTTTCGGTCCGACTTGAACCATTTACAAAGCCACACTAACAGAGAGGAGAGACGAGCTGACGACGACGTTTCGGTCCGACTTGAACCATTTACAAAGTCACACAACAGAGAGGAAGACGAGCTTACGACGACGTTTCGGTCCGACTTGACCATTTACAAAGTCACACTAACAGAGAGGAGAGACGAGCTTACGACGACGTTTCGGTCCTACTTGAACCATTTACAAAGTCACACTAACAGAGAGGAAAGACGAGCTTACGACGACGTTTCGGTCCGAATTGAACCATTTACAAAGTCACACTAACAGAGATGAGAGACGAGCTTACGACGACGTTTCGGTCCGACTTGAACCATTTACAAAGCCACACTAACAGAGAGGAGAGACGAGCTGACGACGACGTTTCGGCCCCGACTTGAACCATTTACAAACCCCACACTAACAGAGAGGAGAGACGAGCTGACGACGTTTCGGTCCGACTTGAACCACTTACAAAGTCACACTAACAGAGAGGAGAGACGAGCTTACGACGACGTTTCGGTCCGAATTGAACCATTTACAAAGTCACACTAACAGAGATGAGAGACGAGCTTACGACGACGTTCGGGTCCGACTTGAACCATTTACAAAGCCACACTAACAGAGAGGAGAGACGAGCTTACGACGACGTTTCGGTCCGACTTGAACCATTTACAAAGCCACACTAACAGAGAGAGAGACTGAGCTGACGACGACGTTTCGGTCCGACTTGAACCACTTACAAAGTCACACTAACATGAGAGGAGAGACGAGCTTACGACGACGTTTCGGGTCCGAATTGAACCATTTAAAAAAGTCACACTAACAGAGATGAGAGACGAGCTTACGACGACGTTTCGGTCCGACTTGAACCATTTACAAAGCCACACTAACAGAGAGGAGAGACGAGCTGACGACGACGTTTCGGTCCGACTTGAACCATTTACAAAGCCACACTAACAGAGAGGAAGACGAGCTGACGACGACGTTTCGGTCCGACTTGAACCATTTACAAAGTCACACTAACAGAGAGGAGAGACGAGCTTACGACGACGTTTCGGTCCGACTTGAACCATTTACAAAGTCACACTAACAGAGATTAGAGACGAGCTTACGACGACTTTTCGGTCCGACTTGAACCATTTACAAAGTCACACTAACAGAGAGGAGAGACGAGCTTACGACGACGTTTCGGTCTGAATTGAACCATTTACAAAGTCACACTAACAGAGAGGAGAGACGAGCTTACGACGACGTTTCGGTCCTACTTGAACCATTTACAAAGTCACACGAACAGAGAGGAAAGACGAGCTTACGACGACTTTTTCGGTCAGAATTGAACCATTTAAAAAAGTCACACTAACAGAGATGAGAGACGAGCTTACGACGACGTTTCGGTCCGACTTGAACCATTTACAAAGCCACACTAACAGAGAGGAGAGACGAGCTGACGACGACGTTTCGGTCCGACTTAAAACCATTTACAAAGCCACACTAACAGAGAGGAGAGACGAGCTGACGACGACGTTTTCGGTCCGACTTGAACCATTTACAAAGTCACACTAACAAGAGGAGAGACGAGCTTACGACTACGTTTCGGTCCGACTTGAACCATTTACAAAGTCACACTAACAGAGAGGAGAGACGAGCTTACGACGACTTTTTCGGTCCGACTTGAAACCATTTACAAAGTCACACTAACAGAGAGGATAGACGAGCTTACGACGACGTTTCGGTCCGACTTGAACCATTTACAAAGTCACACTAACAGAGAGGAGAGACGAGCTTACGACGACGTTTCGGTCCGACTTGAACCCATTTACAAAGTCACACTAACAGAGAGGAGAGACGAGCTTACGACGACGTTTCGGTCTGAATTGAACCATTTACAAAAGTCACACTAACAGAGAGGAGAGACGAGCTTACGACGACGTTTCGGTCCGACTTGAACCACTTACAAAGTCACACAACAGAGAGGAGAGACGAGCTTACGACGACGTTTCGGTCCGAATTGAACCATTTACAAAGTCACACTAACAGAGATGAGAGACGAGCTTACGACAACGTTTCGGTCCGACTTGAACCTTTTTACAAAGCCACACTAACAGAGAGGAGAGACGAGCTGACGACGACGTTTGGGTCCGACTTAGAACCATTTACAAAGCCACACTAAAAAAGAGAGGAGAGACGAGCTGACGACGACGTTTCGGTCCGACTTGAACCATTTACAAAGTCACACTAACAGAGAGGAGAGACGAGCTTACGACGACGTTTCGGTCCGACTTGAACCATTTACAAAGTCACACTAACAGAGAGGAGAGACGAGCTTACGACGACGTTTCGGTCCGACTTGAACCATTTACAAAGCCACACTAACAGAGAGGAGAGACGAGCTTACGACGACGTTTCGGTCCGACTTGAACCATTTACAAAGCCACACTAACAGAGAGGAGAGAGACGAGGCAGTATGAAAGAGGAAGTTGTCGTATGCGCAGATAAACACAAATAACCCTATACCTGGAGAGGGTTTCGGGGGTCAACGCCCCCTCGGCCCTGTCTTAGACCAGGCCTCGTAGTGGATCAGGGTCTGATCAACCAGGCTGTTACTACTGGCTGCATGCAAACTGACGTACGAACCACGGCCCGGCTTTTCAGGTACTGAATTTAGGTGCCTGTCCAGTGCCTTCTTGAAGACAGTCAGGGGTCTATTGGTAATCCCCTTTATGTATGCGAGGATGCAGTTGAACAGTCTTGGACCCCTGACACTTATTGTGTTGTCTCTCAGTGTACCCGTGGCGCCCCTGCTTTTCATTGTGCGAGTTATCTGTGTATTGTTCTAGTCACCGTACTGTGCCTTTTCGTTATTCATTCTTTATGAGCAAATAATTTTAAATAACAGTTCTCTTAACAATACAATAATTACAGAAGACTTTTTCATTATATGGTAGTGGAACGCAAGTGTAGTACTAACACGTGTACTGTTATTGGCAGGCAGCCGTGGTGATCAGCCGAGACCATCACGATGTTAGTGGGACGGACTCACCCTTCAGAGAAACCTCCAACGTGTACGACGGGTCAGCCTTCACAGCAGGTAGTATATCACCTCTCACTGTCTACCAGCATCTCTAGCTGCAGCCCAGCCTAAGACAGTCAAACAGGCGACTGTTTAACGCCCTTAAATAATGATTATCTGACAGATATTTTGGTGTGCACGATGGGTCTCCGTGTTTTGCTTCAAGTTGCAAGGACATACGATAGTGTGGGTGCCTCGGAGCTAATTTCATTCTACTCTCCGTTTGGTGGTGTTATTGATTAAATACCAATTTCTCGTGGTTATAAAATATGTATACTGCTTGTGGAGGCTAGTACACCAAACGGGAAGCAGAATGAAATTAAATTTGAGGCACCCATACCATTGTACATCCTCGCAACGTGAAGCAAGCCTAGTTTGCTAAGCTCATGTTGTTTGTAGGATTGTATGGTCCAGTGGTTTAGAGCGTTGTGAATTTTCGCTCTCCATGAGGCGGGCTAAAACAACACGGGTTCGATCAACCGCCTAGTCGCAGTGTTGTTATTGATTAAATACCACTTATTAGTAGTTACAATAATATATATGTCATTGGTACACTAAGAGAAAACACCATAAGTGTCCGGAGCCCAAGACTGTTCAACAGCCTCCCACCAAGCATTAGGGGAATTACCAATAAACCCCTGGCTGCCTTCAAGAGAGAGCTGGACAGGTACCTAAAGTCAGTGCCGGATCAGTCGGGCTGTGGTTTGTACGTTGGACTGCGTGCGGCCAGCAGTAACAGCCTGGTTGATCAGGCCCTGATCCACCGGGAGACCTGGTCATGGACCGGGCCGCGGGGGCGTTGATCCCCGGAATAACCTCCAGGTTATTATCAAGAATTCATTTAAAATTAAGTCTTTTCTAAAAAATTTCTCTTATACGTTTAAATACATTTTTATCATTAATGTTAATGCAAAAATTAATAATTTTGTATTAAGAAAATCTTAGAAAACTTACCTAACCTTATTAAAACAAGCGCAATTTAACTGAGCCTAATCCAAATAAATATACTTTAGATAAGTTGACAATAATTTAATAATAAACAAACACAATGAAATATATTTTTTTCGTTAGCTTCAGAATAACTTCTGCGAAATTATTACATACACAAATTTTCGCTGGCCTTAGTCCTCAAGAAAAGTGTTGCTATTTAAGCTAAAATCGCATATGTTACCTATTCATCGTGTGGTCAAATCCTGGCCTGCCGCAGTTTGGTAAACGATTAGAAACCACTTGTTTCGTGGCTTTATTGCTATATAGACTGCTTGTTAGGTAAGACACATATGCAACAGTTAGGTATCTTTATTGTGAAACGTTTCGCCTACACAGTAGGCTTCTTCGGTCAAGTACAGAAAAGTTGATAGAAGCAGAAGATACTTGAAGACGATGTAATCAGTCCATCACCCTTAAAGTTTTGAGGTGGTCAGTCCCTCAGTCTGGAGAAGAGTATGAAACAATATCAAAAATACCAACACAAAAATACCACAACACTTCCACCAACATCTATAACATAACATGAGCACTATAACATATCACTATCACAAAAAAAAAATAATACACAGACACCCACATATTATACATTTCAATTGCAAATTTAAGACATGAGACATACACACCAAATCTAAGACATTCACCTCCAACTAAGACATACACATCACCCCTAAAACTTCCTTCCTTATTCATTCCGTATATCTCCTAGAGCTGTTTTAACCCCGACGGATCCACCACGACGTAGGAGCCAGAGTGTAGTAGGTGGTGTTGGAGTGGTGATGGTTCCTCTGGCTCCTACGTCGTGGTGGATCCGTCGGGGTTAAAACAGCTCTAGGAGATATACGGAATGAATAAGGAAGGAAGTTTTAGGGGTGATGTGTATGTCTTAGTTGGAGGTGAATGTCTTAGATTTGGTGTGTATGTCTCATGTCTTAAATTTGCAATTGAAATGTATAATATGTGGGTGTCTGTGTATTATTTTTTTTTTGTGATAGTGATATGTTATAGTGCTCATGTTATGTTATAGATGTTGGTGGAAGTGTTGTGGTATTTTTGTGTATGTCTTATTTTTGTGCGAATGTTTAAAAAATAAGTGTTTTCAGTGATCATAGTAGTTTTGAGATGCATGATCTTAGATTTTTTGGTGATCTTGGTGATTAGTGTTGATAGATGACGGTAAACATGATATGGAATTGGTGATCGTGATTTTGTGTGAATAATTATAAAAATGTGTGTTTTCTGTGATCTTGGTGTTGGGGATCATAAAATCTGGTAATCGTCTTGGATATAGTGTTCTTAGATAATGTAGGGTACAACAGGTTGAAACAAGGGGGGGGGTTAGGTGTGATGTTACCAACCACCAAGTAACACAATGGGAGTGTGACGTCACTGGAGGTGAGCTCGTCGGTCCTGTGAGGTGAGACATCGTGTGTTGGTGGTAGTGAGGTGAGTGCGCTTAGATATTGTCAAATATGATTTTTTTTTTGTGTGTGTGTGTGAAATGTTTATAAAAATGATTGTTTTCTGTGATATTAGTGATTTTGAGGTAAGTGAACATGGGTGATTGTAGTTGGTGATTGTCTTATATTATGTGTGTGTACAAGATATGTTTTCAGTTGATGGTGATCATGTACTAAGTGTTTGCGTATTAGGTTTGTGTTCATGCTTTTTTTTTTTCATGCGCCAAATGGGGAGGGAGTTCTTGGTTATAGTGATTTGAGGGGATTTCTATAAAAAGGATGTTAGATGGTGATGTTAAACTTAGTTTCTGGTGATTTTGACGGTGATTGGTAGTATTCAGTGGTGATTTGGTAGTAATCAGTAGTGTTTTTTGGGAGTATTCGGAGGTGTTTGATGGTGTTTTTTTGAAGGTGTTCAAATGATGTGCAGAGCATTTTTTGAAGAAGATCAGTGGTGTTCAGAGTTGGTTCAAAGTTAGTCAGTGTGTTAGATATGGTAATGTCTCATGTCATAAGTGTATGAGTTAGTTTTTTTGTGCTAATGTTGTAAAGTCTGGAGAATGAGGGAGGAGTTTGGGGGGATGAGATGTAATTTAATGAAATGTGTAAGTGTAGATAAATTAGAGCTGTCAAATCTTATTTGGGAGTAATCAAAATGATATTTTGGAAGTGCTTCAGTGTTGTTTGGAAATGTTCAAAAGTGTTTATGTGAGTACTCAAATGCTTTATGAGAGTGTTCGAAGTAATCTTGGGGTTGTTCTGTAGTGAGATGATAAAGGTTGTGGATGAGAGATATTGAGAAAAGGGGGTCTCAAATGATGTATGAGAGTGTTTTGAAGGTGTTCAAAGTAAAGTGAGTAGGTTAGGATAAGTTAGGTTAGGTTATTTTAGGTTAGGTTAGGTTAGGTTAGGATAAGTTAGGTTAGGTTAGGATAAGTTAGGTTAGGTTAGATTAGATTAGGATAAGTTAGGTTAGGTTCGTTATTTTAGGTTAGGTTAGGTTAGGATAGGTTAGGTTAGGATAAGTTAGGTTAGGTTAGCTTAGGATAAGTTAGGTTAGGTTATCGTAAGGGGTTCTTGAATGGAGATATCGTAGGATAAGGTAGACACACTTGTAGGATGGTAGGTGTATTGTCAGACTGCGATGAGAGATGGAGCCCGGTGCCTAGCCTGTTCACGCCTTGTAGGTCTGCCACCGAGTGAGAGCGGGACAGAGGGATCACTGCCCATGTGTATCCCTATGACGTCACACAAAGCCAAAGGCCTACGAGGGATCTCGTGTCTAAAGCACAGGGATGATACTAATATGCTATGCTATATAATACTGGGAATACAGGGATCAGCAACTATGCTGACAAGGTTAGGTTAGGTTAGGATAGGTTAGGTTAGGTTAGGACAGGTTAGGATAGGTTAGGTTAGGTTAGGTTCGGTAGGTTAGGTAAGGTTAGGTTAGGTTAAGTTAGGTAGTATTCGAGGTGTTTGATGGAGTTAGGTTAGGTTAGGATAGGTTAGGTTAGGTTAGGATAGAGGTGTTTGATGGAGTTAGGTTGGGTTAGGTTAGGTTAGGTTAGGTTAGGATAGAGGTGATTGATGGAGTTAGGTTAGGTTCGGTTAGGTGAGGTTAGGTTAGGTTAGGAATTAGGTTAGGTTAGGTTAGGTTAGGTTAGGATAGACAGTTGGTCTGGAAAGAGATGATTTTCTACCTTGGATGTTACCCGCATTTCATGGCGTCTGTCTGTCCTGAGTTGACGCAGGTGTTCATGATTATCTTAAATCTACCTTGGGTGTGAACCGCATTACCCAGTGGTGTTGGGGGGAAGGGGTGACCCACAATGAGTCTCTCAGAGCGAGGAAAGTGTTTCTATTCGGAAATCGAGTAAATATTTCTACCATTGAGTGTGTTTACCAACAAGAAAATAATGTTCGATTTTACGATAAAGTTTTCAAAACTAATTTGGAAATATCCAAAAAAATGGAGTCGTTCAAAGTAATTCTGGAGTACTCTAATGTATTTTGGAAGTGTTCCAATATATTTTAGGTTAGGTTAGGATAGGTTCGGCTAGGTTAGGTTGGGTTAGGTTAAGATAGGTTAGGTTAGGTAATGGTTAGGCAAGGTTAGGATAAGATAGGTTAGGTTAGGTTAGGCTAGGTTAGGTTAGGTTAGGTAAGGTTAGGTTAGGTTAGGTTAGGTTAGTTAAGTTAGGAACGGTTAGGATAGGTTCGGCTAGGTTAGGTTAGGTTAGGTTAAGATAGGTTAGGTTAGGATAAGTTAGGTTAGGGTAGGTTAGGTTAGGTTAGGTTAGGTTAAGTTAGGTTAGGCTAGGTTAGGTTAGGTTAGGTTGGGTTAGGTTAAGTTAGGTTAGGTTAGGTTAGGTTAGGTTAAGTTAGGTTAGGTTAGGCTAGGTTAGGTTAGGTTAGGATAAGTTAGGTAAGGTTAGGTTAGGTTAGGTTAGGCTAGGTTAGGATAAGTTAGGTTAGGTTAGGTTAGGTTAGGTTAGGTTAGGTTAGGTTAGGTTAGGATAAGTTAGGTTAGGTTAGGCTAGGTTAGGGATGTGTGTGTGTGTGTGTGTC